TCTTTGGCTGGGTAATTTAGGACTTGTACAGGTTTGGAAATTCTCCCAGATCTGCAAAAGCCAGCAATGAGTTTATGACCAGAAAATTCTAAAATAAGACTACAACACATACCTAGTTGGTCTTGCTATCAGCACAGTAGTCTCTTGATCTGAAGAATCATTGTCTGACATTCTCTCTGTAGATTTTTGTGATGAACAGGTCTCTTTATTAATCTAAACAAATATTGTTTAGTGATAAAAGACAATACAATATAAATGCATACAGATAAAAGGAATAAGGCCCCACCTGGACTTCTACCATTTCTTCACTAGTGCCCTCTCCTTCAGAAACTGTAGCTTTAGACTTGGGTCCGATGCTGGGTTGACCCTGATGACCAATAGGATTGAGTGCTTTTCCTGGTTTCCTTGATTTTGCTTCTGTATTCTTGGCAGAATCAATTTTTTCAGTCTTTTCACATCTGATATATTGAACAGAATTTAGGACATCACAATATAATATAAAATAAGTATAACTACACACCATCACAGTAACATGCACTTACTCATCTTCTGGAAGAACAATTTCTTCAAAATCTGCAAGTGACCAAGAGGTTAAACTCGAAACAATAACAAGAGACAAGATCAAAGAGTGTTTTTTGTCCTGTTTCACCTGGCACATTTTTCTTTTTCCCTTTACTTTTCTTTTTGTCATTTTGTGGATCTGACAAATGGTCATCTTCATCTTTTCTTTTGCATTTGAGCTTGGAGGCTGGCGTTTCCTCATTACAGAGGTTTTCCTTCTCCCCTTCCTGCTCCTCATTGGACATTTCATCTTCTGTTTCCTCCTCCACATCACTCATATTGGAAGTAGCTTTTTTACCTTTGTAGTGACCAGAAAATCATGTTGATAAATAAATAAATAAATGAAACAACATAATATTCAAATAATGTATCTCACCTTTTGGTTTTCTTTTACGTTTTTTAGGAGTTTGTTTTTTCTGAGATACTGACTTAAGTTTCTTTTTACTTTCCTGAAATTCAAGAATCTTCTCCAGCAATTTCGTAAAGTACTCCAAATCCAGTCTACGCCTCTCCCCTACAGAAACATGCAGACTGCCTTTATACAAACTCCAAATAATGATATGGATATATAAATGTTCATTTTAAAGCAAGGATTTTATTAATTTCATAACCTACTAAAAGCTTTGTCAATCCTCCAGGCATTATGCCGCTCCTCCTTCTTAAATTTGTTCTTAAAAAAAAAGAAAACAAAAGTATTGAGTTAATAAGTTAATACTATTATAAACACACAACCCATGTTCACATACTTACCTTAATTTCTGATCGAGCTCTGTGAGGAAATAGCTGACAGATCATCGTAAAATCGGTGCCCACCATGCTGATGGCCAAGAAGAACATGTCAGTCTCTATAAAAGAAAAAAAAATGTGAACGTCCTTCATACACAGAACACTTAACAATGGTTTGGAATATAACCTTCAGTAGACCAGGGCTTGGTGTGGGTCCCTTTCCTGAAGCTTGAATAAGTTGTTGTGGAGCCTCGTTCAAAAATAGGATCTCGATCCTGAATTGTATTTGGCCCCTTCATCCTTTGGACTTCCACAGTCAGGCTACCGCAAACAAATTTTTTAATTTTTTTATTTACATACAAATTTGACAAAACCTATAAAATGTCCTACAAACCTTTCCTCGTCAATAATAAGCGTGCCATCTTCTGCTACTTTGACTTGAGGGACCATTAGTGTATCTTCATCCTCAGCTTCCCCCTCCTCATCATCCTCCTGCGCTTCTGCAGTTGAAGTGGTTGCTGTTGTTTCCACCTGATCAGGACTACGCAGATCTGGTTGAACTTCTGGTTTCTGTGCTCTGTTGTCTGGTGATCTAGGAAGAAAAAAAAAAAACAATTTAAATTAACTAGTGACATTCAGCATTCGGCATTCAGCATTAATTTTGGCACCATGATTGTGTATTTCTGCTGTCAGAATTATACTGAATAAAGCAGAAGAAAATATTTAGCTACGTACAACTCTCTTTCAGGTGATTGTGGAGTGACAGCCTCATTTTCCTGTTGAGAGCCTTCTAAGGTCGATCTGTATTTTGAGAGAGAAATACAACAGAAATACAAAGATACATTATTGATTCTAAGATAGACTATTGATTGTTTGATAAAGAAACTTACGACATGGGATTGGATGTTGGGAGATAATGGATAAGGTCTCGCATAGTCATTTTGGATGGATCTAAACCATGTTCCTTTGCACGTGGCTTGGACTTTTTTGATTTCTTAAAGTTTAAAAAAATACAGGTATTAATATAGAATATAAAATGACAAATGGGATACTGTGAAACATTTTGAACTTACCCCTTTCAGCATCTCTTCTTTTAGCAATTGTCTGAGTTTCCGTGCCTTTTCCAGTCTTACCAAATCAGATTTATCATTGAGGAGCTGACTCAGAGAAAACTGTTGTGAAGATGATGTAAGATCAGTTTTAGACACAAGAGTTTTGGCTTTCTCTGATATTTCAGTTGTTTCTCTATCAGGTATAGATGGAGGGACTGAAGCTTTGGGAGATATTTCTTTCACTTGGCTGCATGGCTGTATTTTTCCAGTGTCAACGGGCTGGTGTACATCTTTGCTTGAGTCTTCAGCTGGTGAAATAGTATCAGTCTTGAACAATATGCATTCCTTTGGGGACAATATTTCTTGATCAGGTGTAGTAGAGTTAGTTTCAATTGTAGCTGCTGCTTTGTCAATGACTGGTGCTGGACTCTTGACAAGAGGAAGCACTGGTTTGACTGGACACTTGGGAGTTCGAGGAAGAGCAGATGGGCGACCTGGTACTACTTTAGGCTTGACAGAAAACCTCTTTCTCCTGTGAATTGCAGATGAACACGAACCATCTCCACTTTGGTCATTTGAATCTCTTAAATAGATAAGTAGACAGAGAAACAATATAAGTGAAAACATTGTGATCCCTGGGTTTAAATCAGAAAATTAAATATAAGCTACTAACCCTGGAGTTGACTCATTCTGGGCATGAGCAGATTTGGTGTCAGTCACAGAAACAGGAGACTCAGCTTGACTGTTGGTGTTATCGGTGTCCTTATTTGATAAAGGGAGCTCCTGGTGTGCACCAGCTGTTCTTCCAATGGTACCCACATTAGGCCTAATCGATAATCTTGACCGCCGAAACATGTTAACCTTAAAAAAAATAATAATAATAAAAAAATCAGCGAAAGAAGCAAATCGTAACTGTATCCTAATAGTATCCGTATGTATACTACAGTATCCAAGAGATTATTATAAAACTATATTAAAAGGAACTCACTTATGTTAGCTGTTAGCTGAACTCTAAAATTATGTTGTCTGGTAGTGCAAATGTACGGTGGCCGACAGGGGCCAAACGCACTGCAAACAAAAAACGTGGTGCAAATGGAAAAAACGCGCTGCAAGAAACAAAAACAAATGCATCATCATTAAATGCGCTGCAAATGGAGAAACGATGCAAAGCACAAAACGACGCATACCAAGAAAACACCTGCAAAAGAAAAACGCTGCATAAAAAGTCACCACAACGGAAGTGCTCCAAACCTGCAGGGGGCGCTCTCAGTGTAACAGCTCAATGGAGAAGACACACCGGCTGGAGAGAGACAGGTACTCCTTATGAGAGAGACGGAAAACGACTATAAATTACAGCGGGAACAAATTATTGTTACGGTAATGTGGCTTTTATTTTATTATATTCATGTATTGTGTTTATAAATAATATAAATATCGCTGTACAACGCGGTACTTCACGTGCCGGTTATTTTATTGTATTTCACACCAGACTTTACAAGGCGATACATTAGCATGTCGATTAGCTTGTTTGCTAATAGCGATCAAATAAGAATAAGATAAGATAAAAAGATTAGAGATTGATAAAACACCCGTTTTAATAGTACATTTAAAAGCCATCTTATCGCAGTCTTCCATACGATACAACGCTGCACATTAAGTATTATGCTTATTATGCCAGCAGTTAACTTATACACTTATGATCTCCGCTGTTTGTGTATATTAAGAGGTAGTGTATAAATACCCATATCAGTGACGTTACTTATCACGTTTCTGATTTCAGTTTTCTAGTTTATACTGATCTATCGTCTTTTTCCAGGCCAATATGTTTTGTCCTTACTGCGGACACGATCTGGGAACTACCGATGTACCAATGTCCTGTGGCTCATGTGGCTCCAGTGTGCATTTTTTTAGCAGAATATGCAGACGGTAAGTGGACTCATATCCAGTTTTTTAAATAACATTGATATGATCAATGATGTTAATGCCACTTTTTCATGTAAAATGCATTCATGTATATTTGGCTTGTGATAATTCTAATAAAATGTCTGCCTTTATCCCACTTTATGTTTATAGGGTCAGCATCAGATGTCCTCACAGATGACCTAATAAGAAGATATTTTAATGAGAGCTACAGCAATGCGGAGATTTTGGATTTTTTAGCTTCTAAAACACAATGTGCACATGAGCCTTCGCTCCTTGAAGAGGAAGCTGAATATGCTGTCTTTGTTCAGACAAAAGAACTACTCTACTCTTGCCAGTGTTTGTGGGGCCATACAGGAGGAGTTAAAGGGTCCAGGGCAACACTATGGCTACCGTTCAATGTGGCAGACATTGCGCCTAAAATACTCGCTGACAGTTAGGAGGGATGATGTTATGGCCCTGATGAGAGAACTGGATCCACAAGGAATTCAACATCGTGCAAGCAGAAGATTTGTTAAGCGAGTTTACACTTCTGATGGACCGAACCATGTGTGGCATGTGGATGGATACGATAAGTTGAAACCATACGGTTTTTGGAATCAGTGGCTGCATAGATGGATACTCGCGAAAGGTGCTGTGGTTGAAATGTGGAGCAAGCAACAATGACCCAGTGGTCATTGCCCAGAATTACATGAACTGCCTGACAGAATATGGAATCATTCCAATGCGACTTCGTACTGACTGTGGCACTGAAAATGGCACAATGGCAGCAATTCAGTGTGCCTTAAGATCATCTCACACTGACGACTATGCTGGGGCTGCTAGTCATTTGTATGGCTCTTCAATGGCAAACCAAAGAATTGAAAGCTGGTGGTCTTATTTTCGCAAACAAAGGTGTTATTATGGATTTCTTTAAGTGTTTTACATGCTAGAAGCACATTTCTAAAATAGTCTTTAAAACACATAGAAAATAGACCATTGTGGTCCTTGAAAGTTTCTTGCTTTTTTTGAACAACAAATTAAAACATTTTCAATTGCATTAGAATCCAAAAACATTCCCTGAAATGCATTGCCCTAATTCCAGCTTGTGTTTTCAGGTCTCAATTTTGGATGGACCTTATGAATGATTTGAGAGAGCGAAATCTCTTTAACAGCAGTCATGAGCACACATGCCTCCTGCGATTTGCATTTATGGATATGCTACAACATGACCTTGATGAATGCAGAAAAAAGTGGAACACTCATACAATAAGACCTGCTAAACAGTCTCGTTGTCCATCTGGGAAACCAGAGGTCATGTACAGCCTACCTCACAGGTTATTCATTTATGTATTTATTTATTACCTTAATTGAAATAACTGGATAAAATGTAACAATAGACCTAGACAAACTTTACTGATCCACAAGGGAAATTACTTGGATACAGTAACCCACACATCACAATATAATAACAAAGAGCAACAGGTGTGAAGTGAAGTACATTAAGAAAAGATGTGAAAAACCCTTGCACTTAATAGTATTGCATATGGTAACAGTCTTGCGCTCAGCTAGTTGAGTCCAAGCTACACGTAACATATTTTTACTCCCAGGTTTGGTGGAACTGACTGTGGGTTTCCGGTTTCACTGGAGGAACTGGGGCCATTTCAGATTGAGGCAACACACAGTTCATGTGGAGATCGTCATCTCCAGTCACACTTTGAGGATCTACAAAGACAGAGTGGTCTAATGCAGCCAATGACCTGGGAGACCTGTGTGGAACTTTATATTAGATTGAAGAACATGGCTGAGTTGTAACATCACTAATACAGGTAATAACTGTTGAACTTCAGACACTAAAGGTCAACCTATCAGTTATACAATAAAAAAATTAGTACAGTCCAAAACCAGGAGAGTTTTGTATTCCAAAGTCCATGTCCTTTTGAAACTCTTCATAAGTTGTTGACAATGGAATTTCCATGGTGTTTGCACAGGTTCTGCTGCATGGGAAGCGAGACACCCTTTGAAACACCAACTTTGGTCTTGGCTTAATCCCAGATGGGGGCAGAGAACAGAGTCCTGTGGCGAACATCAGGATGTCAGGGAGGGAGAGTCCTGTTTTTGTTTATCTTGGGAGGAAAAAAAAAAGCATTATTGATCATGTTCTTAAAATGTGTTTTATTAAAGTTGTTATTCATACAAGATGAGAGAAACATAATAAACCTTCTGTATCAAGGAGATAGTCTCTCCAGAATGCTAATACTTTGGTTTCTTCTTGGCGTCTTGTGGTGCCTTGTTCACTGAGTTGAACCTCAAAAAGATTTTCCAGTATTGTGGATGTCAGCTGCTCCACACTTGAGCACATAAATGTCTTGAATATAGATGCATGCTGCTCCAAAGCATGAATCATGTTAAGTGTTGAAAGCCCATCCTTGAACCTACAAAACATCAACAGAGCAAAAAACACAAATGTTTAGAACAATAGCAGTATCAGAAGGGATAGTTCAACAAATTGGACTACTGCCATAATCCCTATAAACATAGAGATACGTACATTACCTTTTATCGGTGCCAAAATGTTTAACTATTCCTTTAAGCATACTAATTACTTGGCAGTTAATAATTAACATAAGACTTTACAACTTATAACTAATTAAATTCATTTAATCAATGAATATGCAAAAAAAAAAAACAACCTTTGAATTGAGAAATGGTTGCGGTAAATGAAGTACCACTGCATGAAGTCTTTCATTATTATCTTCTTGTCCAATACAACTTTTGGATACTGAAGACAACCAGCCATCTGCAACAGACTTGAATGTTTGTCGATCACTGCATGCAGTTCAACCAGTGTTGCTGCACTGGATATCTGCAAGACAATAACCATACATTTAAGTGAAATGCCACTAACTTCCCATACTGAAAGATAAAGATGGAAAGAAATCACACAATTTTATATTGTCTATGCCAGCAGTTTTCAATAGGTGAGACCTGCCTCCCCTGGGAGGTGCCAAAGAGCCACTGGGAGAGACGCGACACACACAAACTAAATCAGGACTGAACCCAGGACTGAATCAGGAGGACTAAACTAGGACTAAGCTAGCACTGAACCAGGACTGGTGTCAGGCTACTGATGTTCAGTGATACTACCTGTCTTTACCTACTCTAAGGAGGAGGAGGAGGCTCACATTTACCCAATTTGAAAATCCTGGTCTATGTCATAAAATAGGAAGGAGGGGCTTAATTCAGATAATGTTCTGAGATGGTGCAAACTGGCTTTTACTACACAAATGGTTGGGTTGTTAGATTACAAGTATTCACTATTCCATGTTTTTAAAAAGATGGAACAATACCTGAGAACCGAGTTTTTAAACCGGTTTTAAAAATGGAATTCAGGGGATCAATTAGTCAAATTTGTGAGCTTTCTTGATTTGACCACAAACCTCAAGCAAGGAAGCTCTCATGGTGTCATCGGTGATGTCCTCAATCCTTGCCTCAAAATCAGCTGTTGATTTTCCCGTGAGGTGGTCGTATAGCATTTCTGACAAGAATCGAGGGCCTGGACCACCATGGACTATGGATGTAGCGATCATCCTCCCAACATGAAAATACTCATCATCATCTCTGGCAGCTGTTAACATTTTACCATCCATTAGTCCACTATTAAAATCATTTTTGAGTTCACATGAAAATGCATACCAAAGTTAATTTCACTGAACCCAAGTGTAGAGCTAAAACCAGATGTTGAATTTTCAGTATGAATTTTCAGAAATGCAATGTACCTGTAATTTAAGTCTGAAACAATAAGATGTTTACCTGCACAGTCAAACGTGAGAAATTTCCTATCGTCTGGACCATCAAATATTCTCCTTGATCTAAGGCAGTCCATCAGCAGGGTGAGGAACTCTCGTTTGGGACCACCAGTGTCCACTGCATCCTCTGCTCGCCCCTCATCATCAGTGAATTTAACCAAAATTTCATGTGATGGGTCATAAGATGGTCGCTTGAAGCCTCTGATTGCTCCATCCCATATATTTGCCCTGTTTATGTTGAACCTGCTGTATGAAGTGTTGGTAATCTTGGAGGCCAGGTCTGAAACAATGTCTTCAGCAGTCAGGTTCAAAACCTGCGGACTGCAAGAGAATATCAGTACATGAGTTCCAATATATGAGCCAACAATAACAATGAGGTACTAACTAGTAATATATCATACTGTTCTGCAGGGTAGTCTATGTGGTCATCTGTCTCAGACTCACTGTCAACTACTATAGGTGCATACATGGTGGTGTAGTTGCTGCAGGGAAAAAGTTCATTGATTCCAGTCAGTCAACAATACCTATATACATAGTACATTTCTTACACTTCCCAGAAAATTTAAAAATATTTGTTGGAGTTCTAATGTTATTTTGACTTTGGGTGTGAATTGGGGTAGCTGGTTGAGAAATGTAGATTGACTGGTCTTTAGTAAGTTTTTTGTAATGTTGCAATATAGCAGTAAAAATGAATGTCAATAAATAGTTGGATATTCCAAGAAAGAAAGCATAGAAGTATAAAAAATGTGAAGGAATTGCAGGGCATACGCTAATGTATTATGTTCTTCATTTAACACATACACACACTAACCAAAAATGTTAAGGTTGTAACTGTCCACCAGCTTACCTATACCAGGTATTCAGATTCTGTGAAGATCTTAACTGATCCTGGGGAGTTGATTGCTGTCCATCCTATTTAAAAATAATACATTTTTTAAGTTAATCATTTAGCACTGTTACCTGCTTAGAACTAATGCAAGCCATAAAAGGATAGATACAAAGGACTTAGGATGACTAAATTAATTTCCAAAATTATTTACTGCTATTTCACAATTTTATGTTAGACAATCAATACTATTGGATATAATCTTACTTGATGAGATTCTGGTTGTTGGCATCTGGAGGGTCTGTGAATAACAAATAAATAATTAATCTTCCTAATTGTTTATGAAGAAAAACATCACTTGACTAAGGCAATTTTTACCCCTGCAAAATGTTGTCTGTTTTTGGGGTGCTCACATTATCTGGAGTGTCCCAGACCTGCGTGCAGCACATAATATAAATATACAGATATAACACATTAGATTAAATGTAATTTTATAACTTAACTGATAGTTAAATGGTAATGTACCTGGCAATAGGCAAATTTGCTATGTCTTTTACATATATACACTCACCACAGTGTCAGAGAGTTCACTTTCCACAGATGGCAGGTTCACATGGACAACACTGTCATCTTCACTAGAAGACTGTCCAGTATAGCCTTCAAAAAAGGCATTTAAACAAAAATGACTATAATGTTCTGAATAATTTGCAGACTTTATCCTGCACAGATAAGATACCAATAGGAAACCATGAATTAATACAAAATGGAACACTTACAACTGGTTTCAAAATCCTCTGCAGTGCAAATGTAGAGTGTTATCCTCTGGTAGGCCTTCCCAATTGCCTCCTTGTACTTCTGAACAGTGAAAGGGTCATTTGTTCCTGGGATGTTTCTCACTTGTCTGCCATCAGGGTACAACAAAACATGGACAACATCTTGCATGTCCTGGTTAAAATCCATGTGTTTTTTAACAGCAGCAGCCAATAGCTGCTCTGATGACCAGTGAGGCTGAATGTCCAGAGGCAGTGATTTCCCTCTTACAGGTTTTAAGGAGTCACCTGTCAACCTCATAACTCCAACATAAATCTGCAAAATAACAAATGACAGTAAATAAAACAGAAATACAACATGACAAATCAATATGATATGTCACTTAACAAGGTGTAGATCTGCACTGACAGCCAAATCTGAACAGCCTATGCAACACCCTATGTAAACAACATATCATACCTTCACTGGTTTCTGTTGCTTTTCACTCTGAGAGGCCTGACGTTTCTTTGAAAAGAATGACTTTCTCTCCCTGTCTTTAACTGCCCTAAACCTCAGAAATGTTTCTATGCTTCCTGCTAAAAAAAAAACACATAGGAATTACATACTGATTCAATGCTCTTACTGAGTTCATAGTTATGTTCATATAAAATTACTTTCTGCAGGGCATTTCAATATACCTCTAATGCCAGTTACTAATCCAGGGTAGTGAAGAGAAAAGTGTTTTTTGTATATACAAGAACAAGATCTGAACCTCTCAGGCTCCCTTCTGATAATTTTTGTCACAAAATCATGAATCTGTTTACCTTGACTGGTGGAAGGTTGTGCAACATCAATATGTGCGTGAGTTGCAGGCGTCTCCTCCTGGACGCGTTTTTAAAAAAGTGACGTTTTTGCCACACGCACGGCAAAAGGCAGGTGAAGCTGTAAGCGCAGATCCACAAAATGGACAGTACATCTGCAAGGGGAAAGAAAAGGAAAGGGTTTAAGTATAGAAGACTGTACTATTAAAACAGGTGTTTTGTATCAATCTCTAATCTTTTTATCTTATCTTATTCTTATTTGATCGCTATTAGCAAACAAGCTAATCGACATGCTAATGTATCGCCTTGTAAAGTCTGGTGTGAAATACAATAAAATAACCGGCACGTGAAGTACCGCGTTGTACAGCGATATTTATATTATTTATAAACACAATACATGAATATAATAAAATAAAAGCCACATTACCGTAACAATAATTTGTTCCCGCTGTAATTTATAGTCGTTTTCCGTCTCTCTCATAAGGAGTACCTGTCTCTCTCCAGCCGGTGTGTCTCTCCATTGAGCTGTTACACTGAGAGCGCCCCCTGCAGGTTTGGAGCACTTCCGTTGTGGTGACTTTTTATGCAGCGTTTTTCTTTTGCAGGTGTTTTCTTGGTATGCGTCGTTTTGTGCTTTGCATCGTTTCTCCATTTGCAGCGCATTTAATGATGATGCATTTGTTTTTGTTTCTTGCAGCGCGTTTTTTCCATTTGCACCACGTTTTTTGTTTGCAGTGCGTTTGGCCCCTGTCG